CAATGATGACCCGATGCGGCTACTTACCAAGTCCAGTCCCACTGAGTAGGCTTCCAGGGGAGTCTGTGCTCGTTCAGGGGCCTCATCTTGGAAATAGGTCCATCTCTGCCTTCCCTCCTCACTGGTCAGGCGCCAGCGACTGAGGTCAGTGTCGGGTTTAAGCATACGGGTTCCCTTTCTTCGGCGCAGAGACCTGGAAACAATCGTAATTAGCTATCCACCCAGGCTGTTTTTCACTTGATCGGAACCCAGATACAGGAATGAACAAGACCCCAGGGTCTGGCCCTTCACATGGCTGCTCACAAGCCCACCAAGTGGCAAGATGGTTTCCCTGTAGAGATCCTGCCGGGCCTCTCTGCAAGTTCTGGGAACAGCAGGACTCAGGAGACCTGCTGCCATCCCTCTAGCCCTCTTCACATGGTCAGAAGTGGGTTCTCCTGAGCCAGGCAACTGACCCTGAAAGGAGCTCAGGGGTGAGATTATCATCTGCCCTCGATAGAAAGAGGTACAAGAGGAGCCCAAATAACAGGTGACCTTCAGAGACTACTGAGGTGTGTGGCCCATCCTCCCCCTTGCACTAGCACAGCAGATGGTGTGGAGGAAACCCACCATCACACCAAATGGTCTCACTGTAAACTCATGACCGGTAACCCCTGGAGCTTCTCAGTCAGTCCTCTCTAGTCACCTGGACACAGCCTCAAGCATCTGGAGTCAGCCACCCTGCTGTTACCATGGAGACACCACACTCAGCTCGATGCCACAGGGGGCAGTTCCCTGCCTTGCTCAGGGACATGGCCCATGAATACTCCCTTGGGTCTCCTTCATCATCTCTGTTTTACTGTTTCGCTTATTCTCTACAGCTTATAAACACATGATTACTTCTTTTAATTATTATTAATCATTTTATTGGGGGGGCTCTTACAAATCTTACGACAATCCATCAATCAATTGTATTAAGCACATTTGTACATATGTTGCCATCGACATTTCCAAAACATTTTCTTTCTACTTGAGCCCTTGGTATCAGCTCCTCTTTTTTAACCCCTCCCTCCCCCTCCCTCTCACCCTCGTGAATTCTTGACCAATTATATATTATTGTTGTGATTATTTCTTCAAGTAAAAATTACTTTTAATGCCTCTTCCATCTCTAACTATGACTGCCTGTTGAGGAAAAGATCTGACTGTAAGACTTCCCAAAAGTGTTAAATAAGTAAAGATCTTGGGTCCGGTACATTGTCTGATTCAGAGGCTGGGGATTGGGTCTCTCTCCCTCCGCCAGTTCTGAAGGACAAGCCTTCCCCCTGTTCTGAGCACACAGTAACTTCCTTTGTCTCTTGCTTGTGGGTAGGCAACAAGCGGCACCTGGTCAACCCCACTTCTCTATCTGTTCTCTGCAAGGAAATGGGTCCCTGCAGCCTACACATAAGAGGGATG